AATCATCTTCCAAGAGTGGAGTCTTAAATTTATCTTTGGAGAAGCTCCCCACAAATATAAATCCATTACCCAACCAGTGCTCTTGCGGAAAATGAAAAGTCTTCCACAAACACATCACAAAGGTTTTCTACCGAAGTCTTCAGTACTAGGACCCAGGGACTCTGTGGCTTGGGGTGGAGGGAAAGGAGGGAGTTTTCTCGGCTTGGTATAAACTTAGAATGCATGGAGCTGCAAACTGGTGTTGTTTCTTGAGGAGCCAGCATTTGTAGGGAATCCAGAGTAAGATGCCACAGGAGTGGGTAGCAATGGACATCTTACTCTGGAGGGTGAACTGGGCACGGGAGCGGGAATGGACTTGCTAAGTCCATGGGGATGCTAATTCCTGCAAGCTGGGTGGCCATGCCAGCACCCAGCAGGTACTAATAGTATCCTTTCTAGTGTGAGTCTCTAGTGTGAGGGGGGTTTCCTCTGAAGTGGGTATTCCACAGTGGCAACCATCCCAGGAAGAGGCTGCTCTGGGGCCAGGACAGGAGGACTGGTGTGACAAACTTCTTAGAATAGTATCGGGTGGTGAGGTATGAGGTGCAGCAATGTCTGGATCATTGTCATGGGGAGGGGTAAGGTGGCCCCAGCTTCCTGGAGGTAGGATGGCAGCTAAGCAGAGGGGCAGTCCTCTAAAGGGACCCTGGGGCTCTCAGAAGAGTCCCTTCAAGGAGCAGCTGGAGGTCACCATCGGTGTTTCACTTGCTTTTATCCCCCAGCCTCTCATAAAACTTCATCCCAAGGAGCCTGGTCTCAGATACGCTATGAAGAATTAAGTTCTCATTTCTATCTTAGGATGGGGGAGCAAAAGAGGGGAGCTCCCCAGAATCAGAGGGGTGACAGCAGCCACAGGAAACATCAGGGGAGGCAGCTGTGCCCAGCGGAGTACTTCTGGCCCAGGTGGCCGTGGCAAAGGGGCTGGAGTGGAAGAGGTGGGGACACCCTCCCAAGCACAATAGACACAGCATCCTGGAAAGATGCTCAGGGAAGCTCTGGGAGCGGGAGCCGAGGGGGGCTGTTCCATTTCTGTGCTGCTTGTAGGAGGCTCAAGTCATCATAATTGTGTGTGAAAGAAAATGTGACCTGAATTTAAACTTACTGGCTGGTGAGACCTGGCCCAGGATTTTGCAGAGCTACAATTCTCAGGCATGCTCATAAGCCATTTCTCTTGCTATTTCCCTTGTGGTCTGATATAAATACAGCTTTCAAACCTAAATGCTAACAGGGCTCAAGCAGAGCCATTCTGCTTATGGCGCGAGTATGGCCCTCAGGATGTAAGTTATGGGTAGAATTCTGTTAGTGCCTACACCGTCTCTGAAAATGCCTTGAGATTATGTCTTTGTGCCTTCTCTCTCTCTTTTTTCTGTTTTAAAGCAAATTCCAGGCATTGTCATTTCATGCGTACATTATCCCATGTGCATTAAAAAATAAGAATGTTTTCTTACATAACTAAACACCATTGTCACCACTAATACAATTATCAACTATTTCTTGATACCATCTAATAGCCAGTCTCTATTTAAATTTCCCTAATTCACATGACATCTCACCCTCACCATCACATGAAGAGGGAGTCTTCCTGTTTTTTTTAAAAAATAGCTATAATGTAAGTATTTTTATGTCAGCAGAAGCTTTGACAGCAGAGGGTTTTTTCCTACTTGTTAATCTGGTGAGAGTTTCCTTTATGCAGAACTGCACCAATTATTAGTCTTGGGTCTCAATTTTTGCTGTCTCTATCTCTAATTTATGTATCCTTAGGGCTCATTCAACTCTCCCCAGCTTTCAATATGCATCCTCCATTGGCCTCATTCATGGATAAAATAAGCTATTGATCTGCTGGCTTCTGAAATGTGAGAGCTCCTCCAGCGAGGTTCCTGAGTATTTTCTAACTACTGCTTTAGCCTCCTGACAGCGCTGGGTGGGGAGGCTGAGCGCCATTGCAGGGTCTAGGGAAGGAAGCCCACCAGGTTAAAGGTGGGGCTGAGTTGCAGGGATGGAGCAGAGCTGGGGAGGCGGGGAGCGGGGAACCCCCAGAGGCAAAGCTGGAGGAACACAAGGCAGAATCCATCCCACTTTTTTTTTTTTTAAAACACACACAAAAAAGATTAAAAAAAAAAAGAAAATACAAAATAAAAACAAACAAAAGTAACATATGTTTGCCTTAAAAATGTAAAGAAAACCCAATAAATCACATTTTCGTACTATCCAGATCTAACCGTTGTCAACCATTTGGTTTTGGTCCCAACTTTTTAAAATGTACATACATTTTAATAAAATGTGGATTGTAAACAACATCTTGTTATATAATTTAATGTTCTTACTTTATACCATATCAGGAACATTTCCACATGTCATTAAATATGTTCCCAAAACAAGGTTTTTAATAGTTGCATGGAATCCTAATTTACGCATAAAGTACACATTTAGATTGCTCATAATTTATCACCATTATAAAAAAATGCTATCATGAACATCCTTGTACCTAAGTCTTTGAACATATCTCTGATTAGTTCTTTATGATAAATTCCAAGAAGCAGTATTACTAAGTGGAAAGGTCAGAACATTTTCCAAACTGCCCCCCAGAAAGTTTCTTCCAATTTATACAGTAACCAAAAATGTATGATTGAGTCCATTTCCCCACAGCCTTGCCAACACTAGTTATTACTTTTTCCTTTTCATCTGACAATTTAAAACACATATGGAATCACTGTCTCCATCCTGCTTTGTTCATGTCCTTTAAATCGTTGACCATTTTTTTGTTCCATGTCAAAAGCATGGGTAGTGGCTCTGCTCTGTAACTCCTCTTAATAGCTGGGGGTTTAGTGAAGGAAAATGTAGAAATTTCCAGACCTGTACTACAGCTTCAAGAAACAGCTGGGTTATACAAGTGGAATGCTGAGGGTTGCAAATTATTTTCCTAGATTATGTGCAAGGCTGAAGTAGCACCCACAACAGCCAGACTGCAAAAATCTCACCAGTTGTTGACTGCCAAGAGCAGTACAGATTTTCAAACGTTGAATATCATACAACCAGTATATTCATGCATGTATTACCTTTCCTTCTGAAACCTGGTTTACTGCATGAGTTTTGGATTTGCTGCCTAATTTGGATCAGCCTTCCTTATCTTCCTCCATAGACACAAGATTTAAATAGTATCTATCATCGAGTGGTTTATGAACCTTGTACAACTGCATGCAAAATACAGTATATATTATGCACAACTGAGAACATTTTTCTTGGGAGAGAGTCCAAAGCTTCCATCATGTTCTCAGAGGAGCCTAAGAAAAGATTAAGAATCTCTGATATAGAGAAAATTCTGCGGGGTTGTAATCATAGTGCCTGCAGTGGCCAGTAGGTAAGGTAAATCAGTGATGTGGATGAGGTATTAGGCAATACGCAGTGGGCAGGACTGAGGTTCCCTTAAACGCATTCGCCCTAACTAAATGAGTAGCTGTCTCTCAGCTCCAGACCACTGTTGGTGTGTGGGAAAATGGGTCCAGTTTTTCTTGATCTTGCTTGTTTTCTGAGAAAGGCAGAGATCTGTAAGCTTATATAAAATCTTCCAAATTATAAATGCTTACAATAATGTCAAGCTAAAGAAATAAACATTGTATAGTACAAGCAACTGGTGTGCTTATTTGGCTCTCAGGCTGCAGGGCCTAAAAGAAGCCAGGCATTTCAAAACATAATTAAATTCATAAATAAAATTAATTAAATGCTCAATCTTTAAGTTTGTAATTAGCTAAGAACACCAAGATCATTTAAGAACAAGGCTCCCAAGGGATTCTAGTCAGCTTGGTTTGGCATTTGAAGAGTTCAATGGCCAAATCTACAGCTCTTTAAGCAATACAACTGCTGAGTGCAGCAGATCCTGACACCCACCCTCCCTTCCCCAGCCAATGTCCAGTACTCTACATAGACCAGTCCAAGGTCTCTTTAGCGGCAGTGGAGAAAAATGTTCTAGAAGGGGATACGTCAAAAATCTTAATTGCATGGCTATATAAAATCTTGATTTTCAAGCTGACAACACCAGTGACTTGTCATGCCACATTTTGCCTATTGCCAGAATTAAGATAAGGACAAGAAACTATGAAAGGCACAGAGAAGCTTGCCATACCCAGACAAATGCTGTTTCTGTAAACCAAATTAATCTCCATCTACTAAGGGAGCTTGCCCTTTAAAGGAACCTGCAATCTAATGATCAATAAGGGAACAATCATTTCCAAATTCAACTGTGTCACAGGTTCAGATTTAAAAATACTAGGTATTTAAAATACGGTGCAAACCTATAATTAAACCTTTCCCACAGGATGTGGCTGCTGGTCCCATGGGCAAATTTCCAGGGCAGGTATATAACCAGTTCTGAGCTCTGTGGAGGAGTGGAAGTGGGTGAAGAGAATGGGAGAGGGCCCTGTAGGCAGCTGCTGCGAGGGCAGGGGGCAGGGCAGCTGCAGTTGGGAAACAAATGAGTGAACTGAAAATGTGATACAAACTGACAACCACATTTCCTCTGAGAATACCTGCTGACATTTCAGTGACCAGATTGGCTTTTTTTTTTTTTTCCTTCTGTGCCCTGGAAAGAGTTTTATTTATAAGATGTGTAAAAATGGCATCTTCCCCACAAGACATCATATGGCTGGTCAAAATGAAGACTTGAGCTGTGGTGGTCAGCACTAGAGGCAGAGAAATGCCACAAAGCAATGCCACTTTGTGAATAATGAAACATTTCACTCAAGCAAATATACACTTTCCAAGTAAGGAGTGAGTGAGTGAGTGAGTGAGTGAGTGAGTGAGTGAGTGAGTGTGTGTGTGTGTGTGTGTGTGTGTGTGTGTGTATGTGTGTATATGTTTCTGTTGGATGCACCAAATACACTCTGATTTTTTCCATGATTAGAAACGAACAATTTAAGTGTTGGCTCCTTAAATAATCATAGAGAACATTCTTTTTCTCAAGGTACCTGTAATCATGCTTGATACAATTAATGGCAAAATGATGAGTTTCAGCATCCTCATTAGGATTTCTCCAGGAAAGGCAAAGTAGAACTTCTCCAGGTTAGACAGCTTGCTGTATTCTCGAACCAAGACTCCTATGGCAATCCCTAAGAAAAATCAGGATTGGAAAGAAGAAAAGAACACTGTTGAGTTCTCCTGTAATAAATTTCCATGGAAAAATACCCCCCAGAGCATGAATTTTAATGGCAAAAAAACTAGTTTAGATAATCTCCCATCTGAGTCTGTAAATTTTAGACTTCAAAAACAAATCACATTTGAATGAGTAGAAAGTACAATTTGGTAGATCTGTAAAAAAAATTCTTCATGTGAAAAATTTGTTTTCATTTCTTTTCTTCTCCTTCAATATTTATAATGACAAACCATTACAAAATACTGTGAGAAAGAAAATAAATTCATTCTCTAGTCAACTCCATATAACTATTGGGTTGTCGGAAAAGTCATGACGCATTTTTGCAATGAAAAACAGAAAAATACATCATTCCTTTTCCAACAACCCCATATTTTGTTTTTACATACCACCCTTATTCTTTGTTTAGCTTAGATATCTTATGTATTTTGTTTACATATAAGTTTTAATTTTTCTCATTTTTATCATAAATACTCTGTTTACATAACTTTTATAATTTTAGTAGAACATAAGATTCTGTTGGTTTGATACATTTACCATATTGTTGAACAAGTATGTTCTCTAATGCTTTGCATTCTTTTCAGTTCCTTCTAGATAATTATGTGTTCAAGATTGTTTGATCGAGAAGCTTTTTACAAAATGTTTGATCCTGAGTACCTAAGACATTTTGGCTTATAATTATGTGAGTTGGGAAATATTTAATATCAAGAAATGTTACACATTCTCTGAAAGCCTGCTTTAATATCTTTATGAAATCCTTCTTGTGATGACTTTGTTAACTAAAAATCACAAATTAAAATTTTTTTCTTTATTCTCTTCCAAATGGTTCTATTAATATCTAACTGCCCTATGCCATCCCACTTCCCATATACCCCCCTTCACACACCCCCATTTTTTAACCAAGAAAAAAATGAGCTGGGATTACTACTACATCCTTTTTCCTTCATCAGCCTCTGAGGACAACATGCTAATTAGAAGTAAAATGACTAAAGGGCAGGAATATTCAAGGAGGATTATCACTACATATGCTAATTCACAAATGTGAAAATTTAGAGTTGTTTCTGGCACAGTTAAGAACTGTAGGACAATGAAAAGAGGTGTGAATTATACTCAATACTAGAATTTTTATTTAAACTTAGGTATACCTCTTGTACCCACTAGTAGACCAAATAGATGAACCTCATAGGATAACATCTATGTAGTAACCTTATTCTTAGCTTAATTTTATTTTCCTATATATTTTACTTTTTTCTTGATTTCTTTGTTTTGTGCATATATTACTGTATTTCTGATCAGCCATTTTAAATTATTTTTGAAACAAACATATACACATAAATGTTTTTCAAATTGTACCTATGACAGAAAAAAAACCCCTCTATTATCAATTCTATTTAGTTCATATTTCAAAACCTAGTTTTAGAGACTCCTGAATGGTTACGAACATCAAGGATTCAAAACATTTGAGGTGAATTTAAAAAGCATGTTGTGCTTACTTCCTACTTAAGAAATTGCCTACATTCAGTTGTTCTATATGGAACATACTCATATGATGCCGTAAGGATACTCTCTCTGTAATACTCAATGTTTAAAAAGAAAATAACCCAACCAAACAGACATTCTCTCTCATGCTATTTAGGTTGCTTCAAGTAAATTTTTGGGTTGTATGTCAAAGACAGCTCTGTATGTAAAAATAAAGGAGATGTGTCTGTGCTCAAAAACCAGCCACAAAAGGACTCTGTTGAGTAGCAAAAGAGCCCTAAGTGCTCCAGTCTTAGGGTTTATATTACTAACAATTAACTGCGCTTCTAATCATCTCCACCCCAAATGAATGCAGGGCGGTTAGAAAGAAATGTACTTGCTATTTTTTCAGGCTTTAGCTAGATATGGGTTTTCATGGGAGAGATAAGAGTAACCACAAGGAGTCATTTGAAAGCAATTAAAGGTGACAAGTATTATCAATAGGTTACTGTATTTAGTACTGAAAGCCTTCTCTCAAGCTTGTTCTTAGCGTACTACAAATCATATTGCAGTATTTCTTTTTTTTTACTGAAAAGAATATAAATACAAACCAAGATATGGAAACACTGTTGGGAGGTTCACCCTGGGTCAGAGATGTCATCCCGGGACACTCAAGTACAAGTGGCTGGTGAATGACTTCAGGCAGGAGTTACACCTTGGAAATGGGTGTGCTTTATCTTGGTCTCAAACAAGTTTGAAAAAAGTAGATGCGGGATAGGAAAAATCACTAGAAAATCTTCCACGTTCCAATATAAGGTCAGGATTTCACAGGGCACAATCCTCCTCTACCCTTTTCTAGAGACAGAACCTTGGACTGGATTAAGGAGCTGGGAATAAGTGCCTACCTGGGTGTATACAGGTCAGACCCACCTGTTAAGGCGACTCCCAAAACTAGAGAAGAAGATAAAAAACCTCCCTGAAAGGTAGCTGTAGGAAGGCCTTCACAGCAGGGCCAACAAGGAAGTCCCAAGGTAAAATTGTTACCTGGACCTCTGTAGCCCCAGAAATGACCAGGAACTCATTCCTGGGCTGCCTTCCCCTCCACAGGCAAGAGGATCTCAAGCAAATACTGAGGCAGCTTGGGAAGAAGACAGTGATAGAAAAGCAGGCTCAAGTTCAGGTTCCACCACTTACAGGGTGTGTAATTGGGTCATAACTTTAACTTCTCCCATTATCAAGTGGTCGGATTAGAGGTAGGGGCAAAAGGGTTGGATTAGATACCTTTAAAGGTCCCTCCTAGTGCCCAAGATGCTGTGATTATCTCTGAGCCTTGGTGTCCTCAACTTTAAAATGGGATCATGTGACCAGCTCATTAGCTTGTCAACAGCGGGACACGCGAGCTCCAGTTATTATGCTAAATGTTCACTATATTGGTAAAACAGGGCAAGGAGAAACTAGGAAGGAAAGCAATTAAGACCTCAGCTAGAGAGTTCTTCTTCAAGTTCATGTACAAAAATTTAAGCTTAAAAGGGGAGAGAGATATCATCTCTTCATGTCCATGCTGTCTCAAACAACAACTGCCAGTCCAATACCCCTATTTTGGAGGTAATGGGGTGATTTTTT